TGCCCTTAGGTTGCGACATGTTAGTGCTGGAAGACGCTTTTCTGCACTTTTACCCCGGTTTATTGCTCATATGAAGCTGGCTCGAGCGGAGCTCTCAGCACATGCGGCCGGTGCGGTCAGCGTCCAGGACACAACCCCAAATTAGGTTGAATTTAAACAAATTAAGGATCACTAATTATTACACGGGTAATAGAGCTAATAAAAATCTTACAAAGAGATTGCAAAATCACTACGCAAAAAATAGGGTGGACCATCTGGTAGATGGTCAAAATATTTACTCCATCCCAGAGCAAATTGGAGAAAAATTCAACAAATTCTATGAGGAATTATACAATTTGAAGTTGAACCCTAAAACTACTAATATTAGAGACTACTTATCCAATATTTTGATCCCGAAACTGACTGATGAAGACTTGATAATGTTAAATAAAAAAGTCTCTCCAGAAGAAGTCCAAATTCAAATAGATAAATTACCCATAAATAAAACACCAGGCCCTGACGGCTTCACAAATTTATATTATAGGTATATGAAGCTTCATCTGATAAAACCATTAACTGAATTGTTTAACGAGATGGCGGAAAATAAATCCATTCCTAAAGAACTTCTCCAATCTAATCTTAATCCTATATTAAAACAAAACAAGGATAGCTCAAATCCCTCTAACTATAGACCTATAGCGTTGATCAATGTAGATATGAAGCTCTATTCTGCAATAATTGCTGAGAGAATTAAAAAAATTATAGCCAAACTAATAAATCCCAATCAAATTGGGTTTATCCCATGAAGATTGGCTTAAAATAATGCTAGAAGACTACTTGATGTATTGGATTGGGCCCATAGACAAAATATGCCCCTCCTGGCCCTGTCTTTGGACGCAGAGAAAGCGTTCAACAGGGTCGTGTGGGGTTATCTAGCGGAGCTTTTGACGGCTTTTGGCTTCAAGGGATGGATATGCAATGCAATTTTGGCTTTGTATTCCACCCCTTTTGCCAGAACGGTCGGACCCAATATATCTGCAGGATTGTTTGACCTCCGAAATGGTACGAGGCAGGGTTGTCCTCTCTCCCCATTATTATATATTTTATCACTTGAGCCCCTTGCCTTTTATATTAGAAATAATCCTCTTATTAAGGGTGTACCGATAAAAGTTAGGAATGTAAAGATTTCACTATATGCCGATGATGCATTAATCACTCTTTCCTCTCCAGAAGATTCCCTAGTTCACCTAATGCAGATAAATATTCCACGGTTTCAAATTTCAAGTTAAATATTGTGAAATCGATGGCTCTGCATATGAATATAGACAAACCAACTATAGAGAGGTTATCCCACACATATAAGTTTATTTGGACCAAAAACAAATTAAACTATTTAGGTTTAATTATCCCTACAGATGTTATTACCACAATGGAGAGGAATGTATTGAATCTAATGAAAAATACAAATGCTAATTTTAAAAAAAATGGAAAAATCTGGAGACCTCCTAGTTGGGCAAAATAAATATTATTAATTCATACATACTGCAAAAGTGGTCGTATCTCTCCTCTATGATACCGCTCAAAATTTCAAATTCATGGTTGGTAATGATACAAACAAGTTTTTCAAAGTTTATTTGGAAAAATAAAACTCCCAGAATTAGCCAAAAAATTTTATCAAAAAAACTAGTGAGGCCTAAATTTTCCAAATATTACCTACGCCAATATGATTAGACATATACACCTATTACAAGATCCTTCGATGGCCCAAGAACCCTGGTTTATTATGGAGTCTGAAGCCGCCCACACCTCGAATTTACAATATCTTATGTGGACTCCCGGTAGGAATAAAATAAATATGTCTCAAATTAACTCTACTCTTTTAGCACAATCTTTAGAAGTTTGGGAGGAAATTAAAAAAACTTTGGGCTTTTTGCAATTTATACCAAGGTCGTGTAGTCTTATAAGATATTAGAGACAAATATTGATGATCTCTCGTTAAGGCATTGGGCAGATACTGATAAATTAAGGATCTACGATCTTATGTTGGGCGATAGCTTAATGCCTTTTCAACAGATTGCTGAAACTTTTCATAAACCATCTAGGGAAATTTTTACTTATCTCCGAATCAAAAACTATATTGACAAGAATGTTATCAAAAGCTCTTCTCCATTTGCTATGCATTTAGAATATATTTTTAATTATAGGTCCCTAAACAAGGTTACTTCGGCCGCAAACCGTTTGGTAGATCTCCTAACTATTATTCCCCACAAACTCATTAAGACATGGGAACAAGAGTTAGAAGTTGGGATTTCTGAGGAGGACTGGTGTATTTCACTAACACATATTAGTAAACATATTCATTGTTTAAATTTGGTAGAATGTCATTTTAAAGTTCTTTATAAATGGTATTTCACCCCAGTAAGAATAGCCAAAATGTACGAGAATTACGATCCCATATGCTGGAGATGCGGTAGTTTCACAGGGTCTTATATACACATTTGGTGGTCCTGCCCTGTAGTCAGACCCTTGTGGTCATGGGCCTTTGATATTTTTCACAAACTGTCTGATAGTAGACTAGAACAAAATCCGGCAACAGCGCTTTTGGCACACCATGGCAACCAGCATAAGAGGCATAAAATTGGAACACCATGGCAATCAGTTTTAGAGGCATAAAATTGGAACATCATGGCAGCTTTAAATACATAAACTTGGCACACCATGGCAATAAGCTTTAGATGCATAAACTTGGCATATCATGGCAATCACCTTTAGATGCATAAACCTGGCACATCATGGCAATCAACTCCAGAGGTATACAATTGGCACACCATGGCAAACAGTCAGATGCATAAAATTGGCACACCATGGCAATCAGCTTTTAGATGCATATAATTGGCACACCTTGGCAATCACCATTAGATGCATAAAATTGGCATAACATGGCAGTTTTAGAGGCATAATTCTGGGATAGCATGGCAGTTTTAGAGGCAGAAACTTTGCACATCATGGCAATCTGTTTTAGAGACATACAACTGCTTACTCACAGACTCAGAATCAGAAGTGCTATTGTCCTGCTCTTTCATCCAGGCAACTCACGTTGATTATCCCAGTGGTGGAACTAATGTAGAGAGGGCCCTGGTGCAATTATGTTTTCTGGGCCCCCCTCTAGTGCAAGTGTGGCCAAAAGGTAGATCTCCATCTGTCAGAGAACTTCAACAATGCTCTGCCAGCTGGGGATCTACCATTTGCGCATCATTACAGGGTTATATTTGTGAGCAGTGTTTGAGCTTTTGAATGTAAGCATGTTTTTGTATTAAATATATGTGTGCATGTATGGGTGTATTTGTATATACTGTTGCCATTGGAATGTAGTGGTGTACTTGTTTGTAATGTTTGCGTGTGAATGCATGGGTGTTTGTATGTAGTGTAGGACTTTAAATGCAAATGTGCTTTTTGTGTGTAGTGTTGGTGTTTGAATGAAGGGGTGTTTTGATAATTTTAGTGTTTTAATGCAGGGGTGTGTTTGTATGCGCCCGGCAATGAAGAAGGAGAGCCAGCCTTCTCCCAGTCCCATCAGCCCCAGCCACCCTCCTGCAAAGACAAGGTAAGAGACAGGAGGATGGCTGGAAAATGAGCTGTGTGTATGTGAATGTATGTCTGTATGTATGTCTATGTCTGTATGTTTGTCTGTATGCATGTCATTATGTGTGAATGGATTTCATTGTATGTATGTCTGAATGTCATTATGAATGTGTGTATGTATGGATGTCAGTGTCTGTATGAATGTATGTATGTCAGTATGAATGTATGTCTGTATGTATGTATGTCTGTATGCATGTCTGTATGACTGTATGCATGTCTGTATGTATGTATGTATGTCTGTATGCATGTCATTATGTGTGTATGAATGTCTGTCTGTCTGTATGTATGAATGTATGTATGCCAGTATGAATGTATGTCTGTATGTCATTATGAATGTGTGTATGTATGGATGTCAGTGTCTGTATGAATGTATGTCTGTATGCCTGTATGCATGTCATTATGTGTGTATGAATGTCAGTGTATGTATGTATGTCTGCATGTCATTATGAATGTGTGTATGTCTGTCTGTCTGTATGAATGTATGTATGCCAGGGTGAATGTCTGTCTGTATGTCATTATGAATACAGTGGGAGGACGGAGGCAGGGAGTGAAGGGGTTGCAGTGGGGGGGGAAGGGGCAAGGAGAGAAGGGGTTACAGTGTTGGGACAGGGAGTGAAGGGGTTACAGTGTGGGGAGGCAGAGAGTTAAGGGGTTACAGTGTGGACAGGGGTCAGGGAGTGAAGGGGTTGGGGGGCAGGGAGTGAAGGGGTTACATTGTTCTGGGGGCTGTCATACCTTTTATTCCCTGGTGGTCCAGTGTCTCCCTGGTGGTCCGGTGGGTTAACTCTCCGGTCTGCAGCTCCACCGGGTGCAGAGCTGCAGACTGTGTGATAGAAGTCTCGCAAGCTCCCAGAGTGTTGCCATGGTAACGCTCTGGGTGCTCGCGAGACTTCTATCACACGGTCTGCAGCTCTGCACCCGGCAGAGCTGCAGAGCAGAGGTCCTGAGCAGACTGATTGGAGGGAGCCCGGCGGCATACAGGGCAAGCCGCTGGGCCCCCTCCTGGTGTCGGGCCCGCAGTCACGGACCGAGAGCCCGACTAATCAGTCTGCCTTCCTGAGTACCTGGCGGCCCTGCATGTGTGGGTCAGTGCGACCCACTGGGAACTGCCCTGCGACCCACCAGTGGGTCGCGACCTACATTTTGGGAACCTGTGGTCTATGTAACGTTTATAAAGGACCAGGTTTGCCCCAGAGTCAATATTGGGTAGGACAAAAGACTCCTCCCAAGTTGTTTATTTTAATTCTCCTTGAGTCTGAGAATTTGTCCGGACATTTGTTTACATTCTTTGGCGCACATGCGCATTGATAATGAACATCATCCGGTAAAACCGTAAAGACGTAATCTAATAGAGACATGTGATCTCCGCTGACCCGGAAATGGTCCTTACGGAAGTGACGTACCTGGACATGAGAAGACACATGGAGGAGAAGAGAAAATGCGCCCTTTTCAAGATATTTAAGAACTGTAAGTCAAAGATAACAAGAAGCACTAAAGACTTTTGGTCGAAACACGTTAGTGTGTTGCTGTTATTATCGGATTCCATTAAAGTTTTGTTCCTGTAACCACCCCTATACCTGGTGTCTAATTGGGAAACCTAAGGGAAGTGGCAATATTCAGGGGAAGATCCATACATCGATTTCCAGCATCTGATCTCGACAACCACCTGCACATTTCAAAGATGCTGATAGTCTGAGCCTACTTTTAAACGGCTCAGCACCACGTGAGTGGCATATTTTCCTCCTTTATTTGTATTTTGTTACCTATGATCTGTTATTTTGTTATGTTTTTAGGCTGTACCCAGCTATGCGTTAACTTGCATGTTTTTTATGATACACTGTTTTATACACTATTTTGTATGCTCTCACCTAACTGTCTGTTCACCCATTGGGGAATACCTGAGGCAAAACCCTCATCCTTACTATTTCCATTTAAAGTTTTCAACTCAAAAGAACAGTCTCTTCTGTAACCCCCTTCCCTCCCTACACCACCCTCCCATCTTAATTGCTTGATGTTTTTTCTCTACGAAGAGTTTTTTGGTTGGTTTTTTTTTTTTCACTTTCCCAAAAAGGTGGCAACAATGTTGACACCTTGAGATAGTGAGTAACTAAAGTGATATTTTTCAATTGTAGTGCAAATGTGCAAATATCCAATTTCGTGATAAAAAGAGAGGAAGCCTATTATGAGAGTAAACATAAAACATTATTTGCTGCAATGATTGCAAAACATGTGGTTTAGCAGGCAGCCAGCAACCTTTATGCTGTATACAAAACCTTGAATGAACAAACTGTGGAAATTTACTCTGCTTCCTCCCTCCCTTTCCAGGTTCGAGCCATGTTATCCCCTTATCCTGATGTTCTGAATATCCTGCCAGTTTTCACGCTTTTCTGCCTTACTCATGTAGCTAAATTCCCGTGGGTCCCCACGTCAGTATTTTTTCCGTGTATTTGTCCTACCCATAGCCTGGATTGTCTCCACCCCTTCCTATAACTTGCCAATTACCCCCTCCTTGATCCTTCCCTCTCAACCCCCATTGGTGGTAAGCCCATCTCTAATCTGAGAAAGCAGTCCAACCCGAATTCCTTAGAAACCTTAGAAATGTCTGGAACCATATTTTTCTTTGATCACTCTTCTATACCCTTTGATCACTGTTCTATATTCTAAAGGTATCGGAGCCACTGAAGTTAAAAATGATTTTTACCTGTTACAACTCATTCATTCCTGGTCATCTTCTATGGTTTAGCTATTTCTTATCAATATATAATGTTATATAAAAGTGTGGTAGTTTTTTTGGGGGGGGGGTTTGTCCCACAGAAATCTGTGGGTTGAAAAAGCATATTTGTATAAAATCTAATGGGAAGGAAAATAAAAGAAATGAGAGGAGAGTTGTTCACCACACAGTTAGGAGGTGTAACGGAACTCCCCGTACTTCGACCGAGTACCTTCCGTTGATGGATGCTTCCTAGCCTGCGCCGAGGACCATAAGCACCGCACCGGTCACCACAACCACCGCAGACTCCACAACCTCCGTAGCGTAACTGGAGTCTCGCTGTCTTCGTCTACCCTGGATCAGCTTCTGTCCTCCAGGACCGTGTGGGGAAGACCTGTCCTCCAGGAGAGCGTATCAAGAACAAGCTCTTAAAAGAGCTAATTGATTAAAGCTCACGGGAGTATGCAGAGCATAGCAATCCCCAGTGTGAATATAGCTGTCCTCTCCAATCATGAGACAAGACTAGGTGTTGAGGGTCAAGAAGATCTGTGTTTAGCACCAAAGGGCCTTCTTTTATGGAGGTCTCACACATACAGGACCGCCCACAGGGTTTTGCAGAACAACCAATAAACACGTAGTATACAGTACAAACACTCCCATCAATTACACACAAACCCTCCCCTCTGCCTGTGATACAATTATCTCAACACAATAGACTAACTTAATTATCTCAGGCATAAAATATACAGTTTTTACACAATTCTTATAACTTTAAAAGTATACATGCAATATTAATAAAAGTTACATATTTGAAATCAGCGTCCTTTAAATATAAACATACTCAAAAATCATAACAATCCGTCCAGTAGTTCAAAAGTTAGTCGGACGTCCTTTATGACTGACCGCAAGCAAATTTTCATGCCCAAAACAGTTCCATGGATTTGGGCTGTGCGGTCCGTCTACTTTTCACATTCGAACAGCGTTCGAATCTTCGAAAGGGACTTAGTCTCCAGCCACAGTGTTGAAGTGGAGAAGAAGGTACGGGCCAGCGGTCTTCGTGCAATTGGGTAGCCAAAAACAGTTCCACAGATTTGGCAGCACACACCGCTGACCGTGTTCAAATGAGTTAAAATGGCCGCCGCCACATGTTCGTTTGTCGAATGGCAGCCACTTCGACTACTTCGGCACTTCGTCTGTATCCGCAGTGCCAATTTAAAGTTGCAAACTGCTCCAAAGTAATTAAAGGGCCAGAAACAGCATTATAAAAATTCATTATGCCCAAATCAGTTCCTTAAAGGGCAATACATCCCAGGGGCCATAGTCACATGGCAGGAGGCTGGCAATCAGTCCTCTCCAATGCCCAGTGGCAAATGGCAGTTTGTCACAGGAGGGTCTTCTGATTTCCTGGAAAGACCACCAAAGTCATTCAGGACTGAATGAAGGGGTCTTGATGCAGTGGTCCTGCTATTTTAACCCTGCAATGTAATACATTAAAGAAAAAAGCAGTACAATCCGTGGCACTAAGAGAAAGCAGCTAGAACACACTTAATGGGAATAATCACAAAATCCCACAACAAGAAGTGAATACAAACAACAAAATAGTGTGCAGCTCAAATACGTAATACCACAAATAAGATGCAATGCATGCACAATGGAGGTGTATATACCCAATAAAAGACACAAAAATATACCCCAATTGTTGACAGGATCAGATGGTAGCCAAAAGTCAAATGCTGGAAAGTTCAATAATACATCCCATTTCTGAGAGCCTGTCTCGGGTAATAACGTTTGTAGAGAATGGTCCAAAGGGTATTCCTCAGTATGAAGCTTGTTCCTCCAGTGGCGGATCCAGAGCCTGATTTTAAATAAATAATCCAGACACAATAACCACTACAGCTCAGTGTAGTGGTTATGGTGTCAATAGTGCCGGGATCCCCTCCCACAGTAAGTACTGAAACCGTTTAAGAACAGTTTGACAACTTACCTGAGATCTGCTGGGAAATGGGGCTGTAGTAGGGCATAGGAGCAGTGGTTGTAGTGTGTGAGTGAGGGCGGCAGTGTATGTCAGGGATGCAGTGTATGTGTGGGACAGTATGTGTGTGTAACAGTTGCAGTGTGTGTATATATTTTTGTGTCTTTTATTGGATATATACATCTCCACTGTGCATGTATTGCATCTTATTTGTGGTATTACGTATTTGCGCTGCACACTATTTTGTTGTTTGTATTCAATGTAATACATTGTAGTTTTGTAGAAACTGCAATGTTTACATTGCAGGGTTAAATACACCTTTAGTGGCTGTTTTCCTGACAACCACTAGAGGTGTTTTTTCCTCCAGAACAGAACACAACTTTGTCCTGGAATCAAGTGCTGCTGATAGCAGCATTTGATTGTAGGAGCCTGGCTCTGTGCTGTGGATGCATTCTCTAATCCAATTCTTCTCTACAACAATCATTGGGCAGGATGACATCTTGAAACAAGGTTAGTTATCACACAGTTATATTAAAATTTAGGCGATTGGGAGTAAAACTATAATTCCTAAAGAAAATATGTACAATTAATATTTAAAGGAAACAAACATGGCTGAGATAATTTAATACTTTCTTGGGCTTGTGCACATGCAATGGCAAATTATAAAACTTACCAGGAAAGGTTAAAGGATTTTACCCTGTATAGCTTGGAGGAAAGGCAAGACAGGGGGGATATGACAGAAACATTTAAATACATAAAGGGAATCAACACAGTAAAGGAGGAGAAGAAAAACTACCACAACAAGAGGACATAGTCTTAAATTAGAAGGGCAAAGGTTTAAAAATAATATCCGGAAGTATTACTTTACAGAGAGGGTAGTGGATGCATGGAATAGCCTTCCAGCTGAAGTTGTAAAGGTTAAAACTGTAAAGGAGTTTAACCTCTTAAGGACCAAACTTCTGGAATAAAAGGGAATCATGACATGTCACTCATGTCATGTATCCTTAAGGGGTTAAGCATGCGTGGGATATGCATAAGGCTAACTATACGATAAGGCCAGGGACTAATGAAAGTATTTTTAAAAGTATTTTATTGGGCAGACTAGATGGGCCAAATGGTTCTTATCTGCCGTCACATTCTAATTGCCTCATTGCAAAAATCAAATGCACCCAGATTACGTTAATTGAGTGTCTCTTAAAAGAGAATACAAAATAAAGAAAGAATGAGATACTGATCCATAGAGAAAATTCAAAATGATCCTATGTGTGATGGGATGGTCTAATATTGCAACACTGTGTCCTGATGACCTCTAGTGTGAATAGGAATGGATGGTTTTTCAATGGGTATGATATACCGTAGTTAGACTTTTTTACAACCTGAATTATTTCAGGATTAGATTGTATTAACTAATACTGAACATTCCACCACTGATCGGTAGGAACATACAGAAATGATGTTTATTCATAGCATTTTGTTTTCAGTTTCTAATTGTGTGAATAAACTGTGAACATTTGATGGCAATTTTGTATTTCAGAAATGAAGATTCTGGAAGAGGGAAAATATTCAAGGCACGTGCTTCACTGCTGGAGTAAGTAGAGATTTTAAAGGGACACTACAACTTCCGATTCTTTGTAATGCATAATGCAAAAAAAAAAAAAAAAAAGCATAATACATACAAAGATACCACTTGGATTTTGTATATCAATTTGCAGCAAATCGACAGGCTTTACAACTCCTACAAAAAAAAGTATTCTTATTTTATTTCATCCTGGAGTTTTAAGATATTTAAGGAGACGGGAACAAAGTACCTCACTGATCCGTAATCCAGGCAGAGAGCATAATGTTTGAGTTTTGGAGTGGCTCTTTAAGGAAGGTTAACTACCAACTATCTTTTTCTAACAAATTTCTCCTGCCTTACCCCAAACCTTGGTAGTGACATTCAATATTCAATATTGCTGCAAGCTGAATATAGGTTGGCATTGGTTTATTAGTACGTTAAATTGCATGATTTAAATACAAATATGATGCTAGATTGCATCCTATAAAATGTAACTGTTTTATATATATTTATTATATATTTAGTGGAATCTTGTAAAAAATTTGTAATGCGGAATATTAAAAAGCAACTTTAATTGTTTTGTTAATATTAAAGGATCACTATAGTGTCAGGAAAACAAAGCCGTTTTCCTGACACTATAGTGCCCTGAGGGTGCCCCCACCCTTAGGGTCTCCGTCCCGTGGCGCTGAAGGGGTTAAAACCCCTTCAGATAGTTACTTTAATCCAGTGCCGGACTCACTCGACGCTGGTGACCTCTCCTCCCTGTCCAACGTCAGCTCCCCTGTCCAACGTCAGTGGAGACGAATGCGCATGCGCGGCAAGTGCCCCGCGCGCATTCAAAGTGTCCATAGGAAAGCATTTCTCAATGCTTTCCTATGGACGCTCTGTGCGATGGACGCGAAATTCGCATCCAGCGTCGCAGTTGCGCCTCTAGTGGCTGTCCGGAAGACAGCCACAAGAGGCTGGATTAACCCCTGCTATGTAAACATAGCAGTTTCTCTGAAACTGCTATGTTTGCATCTGAAGGGTTAAAACCTGAGGGACTTGGCACCCTGACCACTTCATTGAGCTGAAGTGGTCTGGGTGATTATGGTATCCTTTAACTTTACGTGAATCCCTGCTGATTTACAGCACTAAGTATTAACATGCAGTAAATAAAGTTGAAGTATCATCAATGTTTAGGATGCTGCCAATACACACAGCATCTGCTTTTATGTCTAATAATATAATATTTGTTCTTTGCTGTTTTATCTCAGTGAACTGATGGAGGTGGAACACTTTCGCACTATTTATCACATGTTTGTGGCAGCATTTTGCGTCTTTATCAGCACTGTGGCTATGGATTCAATTGACCAGGGCAGGTAAGAGACGCATTTGAGAAAGTATTCTTTAAGAGTAATGGGGTGAATAGGCCAAAATTCTTTAGGACTCTTAAAACTGGGCCCCAAGTCGTGTTCCCAGGAAGGCATGTTTCCCAGATGTTATCGGATGTTACTCTCTGTGTTGTTCAGTACATGGGCAACTAGGTGACAATAACAGGGTTATTTACTAACAGGGTTATCTGAAAGTGAATTTCAGATATAAGGAGAAATCAGCTGAACTGAAAATATTGCAGATTTTTTCCAGTTTGGCTATTTGGACCTTAAACGTAAAATTCACTTTGAATTCTCACTTTAGTAAAAAGTCTAGCATAAGAAACCCTGTACGAACACCTGTGGCATGGTTATTGGTTAAAGATCTGCCCTGTATATACAGTTTTAATCAAAGTTATTCAAATCAGGTTTGTTGTAAAAATTTACAGACTTTCAGTTGTTTGCAATGAACAGATTAAAACAAAAGCAATTGAAATAGCTCAACCCAATGAATGATTCAAGTGGTTTCCCCATATTCAACTGAAATTGCAACTTATAATGACTTCTATAGTCTCAAAATTGACCAATGGCCTCCAGTTCAGTAATATTTGTGGGTTTGCGTGCTGCAACAGCCTTCTTCAAATCCCACCTGATATTTTCTATAGTGTTCAATTCAGATGACTGTGATGGCCACTGTAGAGTTCTTCTGGACTACTTCTGCAACCAAGCCTTGGTGGAATTTGAGGTATACTCGGGATTATTGTCTTGTTGGAAGGTCCAATGATAATCAAGCTTCAGCTTTCTCACAGATTGCATGGGATTTCCTGATACTTGAATGAATCCATCTTGCCTATCACATGCTGCAGGTTTTCCAGTGCCAGGGGATGCAAAGAAGCCCCAGAGCATTACCTAGCCACTACCATGCTTAACTGTAGGCACAGTGTTCTTTTCAGTGTATGCATAATTCTTCTGCAGATCCATTTGGCCAAAAAGTTCCAGTTTTGTTTCATTTCTTCACAGAACAAAATCCCCAAAATTTTGTCTTGGAGTTCTTGCATGGGAACCTTCTGCATTTAATACGCACCTTTCCTCACTGTAACCTGAGTGCCTATTGTCACAAACTCTTGCTGCAGGTCTTTTGCAGTCACTCAAGGGTTTTCACAACCAGGTTGTAGCGATTGATAGTTTCCTTTTTTATGCCCTGTCCAGGTAGAGTAACCACTGTTCTTTCAACTTTGAACTTCCAAAGGTGTAGCTGGGAACATTCAGTGCCTTCTGCTATCTTTTTGTATCATGTTCCATGTTTGTACGAGGGCAATGATCTCTTCTCTAAACTAAGTGGACCATTCTTTTGAACTGGTCATATTTCTAACGTGCAGTCAAACATTACACTCAACAAACCCCTAGCCAGTTCAGGTAGTTACAGCATAGTTCAAGTGGTCCAGTCAAGCACACTTGAGGCAACTAATGAAGCCCTGCTTTGCATATTTGTGCTGGTGTCAGGAATTCTGTTCAGTGGGTTGAATAATTTTGAGACTAGAGAAGTCATTATAAGTTGCATTTTCAGTTGAATTAGGGAAAACCACTTGAAGAATTCACCATGTTGAGCTATTTAATTTGCTTTTGTTTGATTTGTTCATTGCAAACAGCTGAAAGTCTGTAACGTTTGACAGTAAACCTGATTTTTAATGGGGGCTGGAAAAGTTTGTTTACAACTGTAAATATGTCCTCTGTTCTACAAAATAATGTCCATTATTGTTCAACTGACTTGTGTTTCTTCCTTGCTATGACAGATTTAATTACTTGAGCTATGTAATATCAGGTTTAATCTACATTTCATGTAGTAACGACTAACCAGCATACTCTACTACAAATAAACATTACACACCCATCAAGTGACCTCTGACCTCTGACCTCAGTATGGCAATGTGGAGTCAGTACTACAAGCTAACATTAAAAGGAAGAAAGATACCACTGTCACATTTACAGCACCTTCTCTTTTACCTCTTATAAATGTGCTTATTGTAAAAAATTACAAACTTTTATTGAAACAAAAAATTAAATAATCATGTAGTGCTGAGACTTTGAATACATACAATGAATATACAGTTTAGAGCAGAGATAGTCAACCTGGTCCCTACCAGGCAGTTTGGGATTTAAGGTGGGTGGTAGTGGGTTCTGCAAAAAACGCCTAGTGGGCCTTGAGGGCCGAGGATCAAGACCAGCAGGGGAGAACCTTTCATCTCCCCTGTCGGCCCGTGCAGAATCAGCCAGCCTGGTGGCAAGCACTCTCGGTGAGGAGATCCCCCTCACTGGCCCACTGGCACTTAGTTCCAACAGAAGGAGGGAAGGGCCTGGGAGGCTCTGTGTTCCTCCCACGAGCAGGCTGGTTGGAGCGTTGCTGTGGCAATGCTCCGATACAGTGCTGTGCTGCAGGCTAAAGTGAACATGCCACCACTGGACTACTATGGTTTGCAACATTATGTCCCCCCTACCTGGTAAAAGGTAAGAAGAAGAGAGGGGGAGACATTAAGATAGTTTTTCACATTTCACCCACTTACACACAGCATTGACCCTATGCACCCTTCACACACAAATACACACTACACCTCACACACACAGACTGCCCACCGCGCGCACACACACACACACACACACAGACTGCCCCCTCACACACACGCACTGCCTCCCTCCCTCACACACGCACTGCACACTTCAGCCACGCGCTGCACCCTTCAGCCAAGCACAGCAACCTTTAGCCACGCACAGCAACCCTCAGACCCGCACAGCAACCTTCAGACCCACACAGCAACCCTCAGACCCGCACAGCAACTCTCACACATATACAGTACTCCTCACACACAGCGCCCTTCACACACAGCACACATTAGTAAATATTTTTTTTAAATCCTCCTTTCTAAAAAGGTAAGGAAACTTTACCATCAACCAAGATACAAAAGTGGATGGTATGTATTAAAAGGTTTGCTACCCCTGGTTTAGACAAAAGAACTGATACTTTTAAAAGCCTGTTGGAGTGCTGAATACAGAGGTAATGGGACCGGTACAGACATGTTGGCTTGATCTCTAAACTTAACTTATAGAAGAAGGTGAGTTCTGTACACCAGCCAAATTCAAGCGAATCAGTTATCTGTGGATTATTGTTATTCTGACTATGAAGTCTTTCTATCCCAGAGGAGTCTTGAAATACTAGTGGAAATTTGGTATTTATAGTAGAACATAATTTGGTGTGAAAGTGAATAAATAATCTTTATCTGTATTTTCTTTTATATATTTCAGATTGGTTTTAGAGTTTGATTTGTTTTTTTACTCACTTGGACAGCCTTGTACTGTGGTATGGTCATGGACCTGTTTCTTTATCTACACTCTCTTGGTGCCCTACAAAACCTTGCACTTCTGGGGATCTCGCTTTTCCAAGTCAAAACATCCATTCCTGCTGTCTGCGTCTGTAATCAGCATTTTTGGTATCTGTCAGTTTTGTGTATTGGGTATTTTTCCAACATACATTGTGCTACATTACAAACTTCCTCCAGCATCCAGCTTGATAGTGACCTTAGAACAGGTATGAAAACACACGCACATTTTTTTACTTCCTTTTATTCATTACTCACCAGTGACTGTTCTACTTTAAGTAAGTACAGTAAAAGAAGAAAGCGCAAAGTGGAGCTTACTCTGTAGGCAAGTGTTTTTTTGTTTTATTTCCCATTGGCCCACCAATTCATTAAAGTAATGTTTACAAACTGCTGACTACATTTATATTGTAAAAGCTAAATGTCTGTAATTAAATTGTTTTTCCATAGATGTCAACTGTCTTTAATTAGTCAATGTCCACGAATAAATGCAAAATAATTCATATTCTATCTTTTTCAGCCAAATATAGCCATATGCAGATTAGGCATGTATGTATATGTATTTTTTTTTTCTTTTTTGCATTTACACTTGGTTTTTCAATTTAGGTTCGTTTTCTGATGAAGACCTACTCCTTTTTACGAGAGACTGTTCCATCTGTGATTCGGAAAGAGAGTACGTCATGGAGAAGGGAGGGTTTGTCATTTGTAGGGAAAATAGATATATAGCAAAGTCATCAATGGAACAATATAACATTACATAAAATGTCCTAAGGAAACTGTGGAATCATGGAAACAAATCTACTAATTATGGTATAAAAGTGGCAAAACTTCAACAAATTAGATATACCGGTATGTATGGGGATATGTAACGTAATATATCTATATAAAGCGAGAGAGAGCTAGGTCCAACTTGAGACATGAAGGTAACCCACTAGTACTTTTTCTCTTTGCAGTATGGGGAGTTTTATTCTGTGTGGCTTCTAGCTATACTGTGTATATTTTAGTGTTTGACACCTAGCTATATGCTCTAAGAAAGACTGCAATTTACAGACCAGAACTCTTGCCAAGCTGACAAGACTTTACAGTCAGTTTCTGGTCACTTGTTTATTTGGATCACAACCCATTCTATGGTGTTGGAAAAAAAAGCTGTCTTAAAAAGTGTCCATTGCTAAGGATAGTCTGAAACACTATGCCAGTCTGTACTGCATGTCAAGCTGGGAACTCTGGGAAAGTCGTAGAACATTAATTCTTAAGTTTCTGTGCCCAAAGCCCAATTTAAGGCCTGCACCAACATGACGTGATACACAGCAATATTTTGTGTATATGTTCTGTGCAGAGTTTTGTTGTGTTTGGTCTCACCATGAACCTGGTACCATACTTATGACACCCACATGGTCATAGCTGTACAGATAATGACTGGTTTCTGATTACTGGTCCCTTTGGATCACAAACCATGCTATGGTTTAAAACTATCCAAAGTACAACACCAGATATGCAGGTGATTCACAATATATATAGTAGCGCTCTTAATATAGATATAATACAGAGCTCCAAGTGACTTTATGAATGCTCATTAAAATCTTATGCAGTTCTGTGACTTCATACATGTCCCCAACACTGTTTGGTAACATTTCTATTGTACTCCTTATGCTGTTAGTGCCTATACTCTTCTATCCCTGGAGGGCCCTGCAATACTAGTTGAATTTGGGATTGGTGGTAGAACATGGTTTAATGGTAAATATTTAGTGGAATAAAAAATAATTGTCGAAGAGATTACCTGATTTCACATATTTAAATACTGACCTAAAGTCATCTTTTTCCACTTCAAAAAGCCATCTTTCTTCGTCTTGTAGGGAATCCGGACCAGCTTCCCAAACTTTCAAGTTATCTTTATTTTCTATTCTGCCCAACGCTAATATATAGAGACAGCTACCCAAGGTAACACCTCTGGATGGCTAGGTAACGATATTGTAAACTGTTATGATTTGTAACTCTTTGTTATAATGTTACTTTTACTGTTATAAAGCTTTGTAACTCATAGGGTGATAATGATCATAAAATGTAACCTTAATAATGTTGATCGAGAGAACAACTCTCTGTCTAATAACTATTTTTTTATTTTATTTTTTTAAAATATAACTTTTTTGAGCAAAATGTAAAATTTTTTTATGATGATTATATAGGATTTATTCGAAATGATGGATCTCAATAGTCAGTTGTACTAACATTTTAAAAGAAACCATCAAGGTATTATTTTCTTCTAATTCACATGTAATAACTACTTCTTCTTGTATCTATTTAGAACCTCTTATATCAGATGGAATTATGTGGTTAAGAATTTTGCTCAGGTATGCTCCAAAAACAATTGCCCTCCACTACCACTTTAAATAATTATTTTTACCCATGCTTAGGCTCATTGTCTTACTAAGTATTGAAGTTTGTCTGTGCAAGTTAAAGTGAAATATACATAATATACATTGAATCTTTTAGCTAAATGAAAGAAATGGATATCATCGCAACTGATATGTTAGTTGAGAGGAGACTTTACTTAATTACAATGTATATTGTTTAAAGTCAACACATAAACACTGCTTCTTATATACACGTGTGTGTGTACGCGTGCATGCATTCCCAATTTTCATGTTTTGACACATTTTTTTACTTGTTTTGTATAGTTTTATAATAATGTTTTCTAATATGTTTTTCTTTTACTTCTAGTTCCTGGGTGGTCTGTTTTTTATGTCTTTCACATATGTCACATTGTGGATTCCTGTCTTCACTAATGTGAGCAAGCAGCCATTGAACATAAGGACTATGGTGCTATCTGTTTTCCATGCTACCTTACCTGGTAATGGATTGCTCATAGTCAGGTTAATAGATTGTAAACAAATGTGCTATGGATAAAACCTCTGGGTAACCATGATTTGAAAGATTGCCATTCCCTCTGGGCATTAATAGGCAAATACAGAGAGTTTATTAGAAGCATAGAATGTTTCTATGAAAGATTTAAAATGGCAGACAGGAAGGAAAGAAAACAGACAGAAATGCAGACAGAGAGTCACATAGGCACTAGGCTCTCTCCCCAGACACAGGCTCTCTGTTGGACAAACTGGACAAATGCTCGGTGACCTGAGATGGCCACAGATTAGGACCAACAGGGAAGATTAGAGGATCTTTCTGGCCAGCCCATGCATGGCCTGTACTAGTTGAGCGCCTCCCCAATGGTGGAGTTGTGCGGCAAATGAGAAGATCAAAGATCTCCCTCACCAGCCTGCACTGTATAATGCCAGGAAGAGGGAACCCAGTGTTTGCTTTTTCTTCCCTCTGTGGCTCAAAGTAAGCCACATGGAGGAGGTGAAAAACATTTTTGAAAGATGTGATTTAAAAAAAAATATATATATATTTTTTTTTAATACAATCTCCTACTTTCCACCAAAGAGTCTATACCCCCACATCCTACAGACACTCACACAACAGCCTACATCATATCCCCTCACAACACACACATCAGCCAATAACCCACCATACATACACTAAAGCTCGATGTACCTCCCACATACAACCTACAGACAATATCCCCTCAGAAATACACAATACAGGCCATATCCCACAATCCCCCAAAACAGACAATACCCACAATACAATCATATCCTCCAACATACACTACAGTCCCAATCTACACAATCCCTATGACCTTCAACATGGGCTGCTTTGGAGTGGCATCAAACTGTCATGTTGGGGAAATCTTATCCCAGTCTGGCTTGTGTTATCCATCTCCAAATTGCAAATGTCTCAATGATCTCTCTCTCTCCCACATATTCTTCTTTCCTCACTCTGCTTTTCCTTCCTTGCTCCCTCACACTCATGCTGTCTTCTTCCTTCCTTCCTTCCCTCCCACCCTCATTTCCTCCCTTCCAATATAACCTGGTACAAATTTATCCAGAAAACACTCATGATGTTGGGTAACTCTGGACTCAAGAAGAGTCATGCTTTTTCAATCAGGACAGGACAAATCTTCTGAGGAGAAAATCTCTGGAAAGCCATGAATTGGAGGACTTCACTTTCCTCTGGGCATTAAGAGGCAAATTAAAGTGACAGAAGATCATACAGATGGAAGGCAAATGGGAATTAAAGAAAACACAGACAGGAAGGCAGACAGAGAGATATATAGACACTAGGCAATCTGCTCTTTACCTATCCCCATCCAAACTTCCCAATGTAGCAAGCACAAATCTTAGAATGATGTTCATCCCCTTTTGAAGAAACTACAATATTTGACAAAGGGTATACAAGTAGCCAAAATATAATGCTCCCCTGCTAGAATCTCCATTGCTTCAGATCAGATCGAGGTTAATCCAACTCCAAGTCTTTGGACATATCCAGCTGAAGCATAGATCTGTATGCCATTGAGATAATGACACCCATAGACACACTGTGTCAGTCAGTCACTGTGTCAGAGCTTTGGATATAACTGGGATAAAGTAGAATGTTCAGGCAGCTATAGTTACATTTATGACATCACCTATTATGACTTCACTGCTAAGGATTACTTTTATTTTGTTACTATATTCACATTTATACTTTAATTTCCAGCAGAGTATTAGCTCGTTAGCCCACATCTTGAGCCTTTATCGTCTTTCTTTACATTCCCCACGCAGTGATATTAGATTGTCTCTCATGATTCTTACTATTTTTCTAAATGCTTTCAATAATTAGAAATGAGTGGTCAATCAACATGCAAATTACAACATTTTACCTATCTAGCTCAAGTTGGAGAACATTGAACTTACTTGTTTTCAAACGGTTTTGTTTTTTTTGTTTTTAAAAGTGCAACACCACATCTATATATTCACCATCCACCCAAGATCATGCATTCTTTACCCTTTTCTCTATCCATCTAGCATCACTCGTGGCAACACACACGGTAACAGGAGGAGACTGTAATGTAGTCTATTCCCCCCTCCAACAGACAGGTCTGGGTTGGGGGGATTTTGGCCATCGGCCATCTTCTCCCAATTCCTGAGCTCGCATACCCTAATTGACATCTGGTGAGCGCAACACCCTTCAATGGCAGACTACACATTTTTATCCCACCCACACAACACCTACTCCCACATAGACTACTTCCTGATCTCCCCTAACCTAGCCACTAATGCAGACCGCACCTCCATAGGCAACATCACATGGTTGGACCACGCCGACATATCCGTTACCATATCTGTGCCCACAATCTCGTGACCATGGGCCTGGAGACTCAACCCTCTACTGCTCCATGATAAACTGACCACAGATACGATTGCAAAGGACATCCAAGACACTTAATAAATACTCAGTTTCCTCCCCGATGACTCTGTGGGCAGCCCACACGGTGGTGATCCGGGGGAGACTGATTGCCATAGCATCCTCCAAGAAAAAACATACCCAAATGCTCCGAGCCATGTCCAACCTCAACTGCTTATAACACGTTCACAAACAAAACCCGACCCCTGCAAACTTAGAACAATTAATGCCACCAGAGAACTCACTAAAAGACACGGCGAAAGCCCTTCTCTGGACAAAACAAAAATATTATGAGAAAGGTAATACGGCAGATACCATGCTAGCCCGCAAACCTAAACGCACCATAGAAGCAAAGAAGATCTCTAAAACATGCATTGCGGACGGCATCCTAAGCGATGACCCAGTGAAAATTGGCGAAGTCTTCCTATACTATTTCGCAAATTTATACAATCACACCCCACACCCCCAAACAGACCGCATACATACTCTCACCACTACATTCCTCCAAAAGCTACAACTACCCATACTCTCCAACACAGCAAAACAATTGCTCTCCACCAAAGTCACTGAGATAGAGCTGGCAGCGGCTCTTGGTTCCCTTAAACCCAACAAGTGCCCTGGCCCGGACAGCTATTCAGCACTATATTATAAGTCCTTTAGCGACATATTACTACCCAAACTTGGTAAGGTCTTTAACGCCATATTGACAGGTGACAGGCTCCCACCTGACCTCGTGCAAGAAAACATCATACTCATACCCAAGCCAGGCAAATCCCATGAGGACCCAGGTCACTTCGACCAATTTCATTACTCAATGTGGACATCAAATTGATGGCCAAAATCATGACTGAACCCAATAATGGAAAAGTTAATACACCCTGACCAAGTCGGATTCATTCCTAACAGACAGGCATCTGACAACACCCAATGAAACATTGACCTGATTTGGTACACCAATCGTAGAGAATTGCCGGTGGCCATGATCTCCCTAGACACCAAGAAGGCCTTTGATCGCCTTCTCTGGCCTTACTTAAGCTCGGTCCTAGACCACTTGGGATTTCCAGCAGATTTCCAGAACTTCCTCACCGCAACATATCGGTCCCCACAAGGCTACCTACTGCTTCCTAACATCCCACCATTCTCTTTCCTATCCACAACAGGACACGTCAAGGATGCCCATTGTCTCCTCTTCTCTTCGCCTTGTCACTAGAACCCCTTTTGCAAGCGATGCGGGAATCTTGGGAAATGAAAGGAATAACACTCAGGGGAGAGACATTTAAAGAATCAGCATTTGTAGACGATATTCTGCTGACAATAACTGAGCCAGAAACCTCGATACCAGCCTTATTACACCTCATCCAAACCTACTCCACAATATCGGGATATAAACTTAACGCCATGTAATCGGACCTAATGCCCCTCAATATACCCAAGAACGTCTGAATAACCTGAGTAACCCCTTTCCCTTACATATAAACCCCAAGGCAATCACATATTTGGGTATGCAACTCACTACAGATACTACCACCCTATACACATCTAACTACAACCCACTCATACTTGAACCACTGGAACTTGAACCACTGGAAACCCATGAGCATCTCATGGATTGGAAGAGTAACATTAATCAAAATGAACCTCCAACCCAGATTCCTCTACCTCTTCCAAACCCTCCATTCCCAGCAAAACAACAGATCTTTGCCAACTACAATCAGCCATAGATACGTTCATCTGGAATGGTCGCAAGTGACTGGTTTGCCGAACTACACTATACGTCCCTAAACGCCCAGGAGGTTTGGGACTCCCCAACTTCTTACACTACCGCTAAGCCACCCACCTTACTCAACTACAAAACTGGCACCTACCACCAGGAAAAAAACACAGGGTGAATCTAGAACACTCTATCTTTGGCTGGGACCACTCATCACTCTACATATGGCTTCCGAAGCAATATAGACCCCTACCCCACCGTCACATCCTCAATGATCCCATACACAATCGACCTCTGGGACCGCTTACAAGACAAATACGACCTATCCTCAGGCATATCACCCCTAACCCATATACTCAGAAACAATATGTTTCCTCGGGTACTCACCCCAAAGCACTATGCTCACTATGATCACCGAGATATCACGAGACTGGGACATCTATACCAAAATTGAGAACTAATCACATTTTCAGGCCTCCCAAACCCTGAAACCCTGACTTCCTTTGACCACTTCAGATTCCTCCAACTTCGCCTCCGCTCAGACAGTTCGATTAGTGGCAACATCCACCCCCACGGCCTTCGAAAGAGACGGCCTCCTAGCACCAGCCAGATAGGGCCAAATTTCTGACCTTTACATTACACTGGCAATGCGCCACACGCAAATCACATTACCATACATTAAAGCATGGGAAAAAGACATAGGACCACTAAATGACCCTATGGACTTGTCCGAAATCTGGGACACGATTACATCCATTACCATCTGTGTCACCCATCTAGAACAAGCTTATAAGATGCTGTTCAGATGGTACTTAACCCCTCACTGCTTAGCCACCATGAAATGAATACCTTTCAACAATGCGGAGAGACTGGTACCTTCATCCACTGCTGGTGGACCTGCCCGAAGATCTTTCCAGTCTGGAAAATGGTGGTGTCTCTGCTATCCAGACTTCTTAGCCGACCTTTCCCACTGGAGCCTTGGGCCCTTTTACTGTCAAAACCAATAGAGCCATTCATGAGAAATGAAAATAAACTAGCAGTCCACATAGCCTTGGCTATGCGCAGGGCAATTGCAGAAACATGGGCCACCCCTAACAACCCCATGTCCCACCAAATAAAAAAGAAAATCAGCCTAGAAATGGACAGACTGACCACCCAGGTTCGTGAGTCCCTAGATCCTTCCATAAGATATGGGACATCTGGCAACATGGAGACATATCCCTTCCGTGGTAACCACCTAAATCTTAAATATTGACTGTGATGGACCGCCTGGCACTGCGACCGGGTACCTTCATCAATCTCTGCTTCCTAATACTGACGAGTACCATAAGCACTTCTCTGGAACTCCAGAACTACCGGAGACCACACAAACTGCCGCAGCTTGGTTGGGGTCTCGCCATCCTCCACCCACTCTGGACCTACCACCAGGCTCCAGCTTCCAGTGGGTGAACCTCTCCTTTGTCCAGAGATCGTGGCAGAAACAGCTCTTAGAAGAGCTAGTGATTATACTCAGGGGAGTATTGTGATATAGCAATCTCCTGAGTGTGAAGGTAGTTCTCCAATCCACCAAACATGAGCAAAAACCTCATGGAGGGATAAGATGTTCTGAGCTTTAATGGTTCACACTGGCTTTTATACACAATCCTCATACATAGGAACACCCCTTGGACCTGATGGGGCACAGGATTACAAAATGCACAGACCAATAAAAACAGTGTAACAATGCCTGACACTCCCATATACAAACAATAGAATCCCTCCTCTGTGCTTGGGGGATAATTGAATCAGGAACCGTACTTACAAAATCCAATTATCTCCAAGCACAGAAAAAACATATTTTTATGAAACCCCAAAAAGTACCATAAAACCCCATAAAAGTTACATCTCCTGATAGCCCCTATATGGGTGAACAACATATCCAAAAATCACCCAGATCGGTTCAGGGGTTCAGGAATTTCCTGGAAGTCATTGTTTTGACCAACCGTGCACATGGTCCTTATGCCCAAAACAGTTCCAGGGAATTAGGGCCAACGGTCGGTCTCTCTTTATGGAGTACAAAAGTATATACATCACATAGATGGAGCCTTTTAAAGTGCATTGGGCAAGGTATATTGCAGGGCCCATAGTCACAGGTAGGAGGCTGGCAAGCTGGCCTCTCCAAAACCCAGTGGCGAAAGTGCTTTTGTCACACCGACCGCTCTGAATACAAATAACCCACTCACTAAGAGCTTCGGACTCCACCCAATACCAATCACCCTCCCTCCACCCTACCCGGGGTCCTGGCCACCCTATCTCTCTCCGCCTCCTCTTCCCTTTGTTCCCTTGTTCTCGTTCATTACCCTAGTTCTATACTCCAGGCCCAATCAGGACCACCGTCACCTCAGAATCTCAGCACCTCAAGAGGACTTGGTCCACTGCGCCACGCACTGACCTCCTCCTCTAAGTCCATGAAACCACATGGATAAGGGATAACGCATTCACAACACTAACCTACACATAAGTCCCAGACTGCATAGGTCCACATACAAACAACATATTTGGTCCAGAGCCTGGGTCAGGCGCTTTGCCCACTGAAGGAGCCTTGGCTAATGTACCCAGCACCCACCCAGTCACCGGGACTGGAAAGATGTAAAAGACCTGTTACAATCAAGAACCACTGCTAACCAAATTGAGAACTGATCAAGAGTTTGCTCATTCAGATGGACTATGAGTGTATTTTCCTGTTACTGTTTCTGTTACTTTAACCTGCCTTTTCATTTCTGTAACAATTAAAATTCTGAAAAAAAAACACAGTTGCACTCTCCCTACCACCTTCTATCCCTTTCTCTCCCTTTCTCTCACCCATCCTCTCTCTTCCTCCCTCACTCATTGGTTCTCTATCTCCCTATACCTCCCAGGTGTCCCTTTCTCCTCTCGCCTCCAATCTTCCCTTCAGTATATTTAAAAAGTTAATCCCACCAATATAGTGGTCATGGCAGTAGAAGTATGTATGTGCAGCATTTCTGCTTGAAATGCTGAATATACAGAGATACGTGGATGTGACGAAGTGCCCTTCGCCACTTGTGCCTGGAGGGGACTACTGGCTAGCCTCCTGCCTTCTGACTATGTCCCCTCTGCTGATAGCTGTATTTTACCCTGCAGAAAGGTATTTGTGTATTTCTGCCAGGGCGTTCGGGACTTTCAGTATGTGAAAAGTGCTACCCCAGATAGCTATGCTATGGGGCCTATTCGTGTAATGAAAGACTATAGAAAAGACTTTGGCTCCATGGCGATTGAACTGTATGTATGTGATCTGAGCTCCATTAGGTAATAATGTGCACTTCGATCTAAGCTATCTGGGGATATGTTGCATGTATATGTTTTATGTAGTAATTGTAACATTGTGTAATTTTATGTCTTTTTATAACCATGTGGTTAATGGAGTCTTGCCTCTGTCCTGGGAGATAATTTAATTACTTCCCAATTATCTCCAGGATAGAGAGGAGGGATTGTGATGTCCCTGTGGGAGTGTTTTGTTTGTATTGTCTGTGATTGGCTAATATCCAATATGTGTCCCATTGTTCCATAAGGTCACCTGGTGGACACTTGCATAAATACCGGGCAGGTAGCCCTCAATAAACCAGACTTACTTGCACCTTTCTTGAAGCCTTGGCTCATGCTTGGGGGAAGGGATACCTACACTCTGGGGATTGCTATAATCACTTACTCCCCAGAGTAAGCTCTTGTAAGAGCTTGATTTGTTCCTGCTACGTTCTCTGGATTTAGGAGAGGTTCACCCACTGGGAGCTGGGTCCTGGTCGTGAATCCAGGGTGGGTGAGAGACGGCGAGACCCGGCGCAGCTGCATCGGTTGGAGTGCTCGGAGTCCTCGGCAAGCGCTAGAAGCATCGATTGGCGGAGGTACTCAGTCAGAGTGCCAGCAGTCCGTCAAAGTGGACTTGTATGCCAGGGTATAGTTGCACCCCTGCCACATGTGACTGAGCCAGTTTGGAACTCTATTCCAGGTGCCCAATTCCAACCCTGTTCAAAAATAACAGAATCTCCATTCTATTAAAACCGTCCCTGCCATCACCTCATCCCTGCTTTCTAAAATAGTGGTCCATTTTTATTTAATCCCCTTCATCCGCTGTACACCCCTACTGCCGTGCAAGCACACATGCCCTGAGCCAGGGCAATGGTTCAATCCAATGCTTCTTTATGGGAAGGATAACAGTAGCTCTTTAATATTATATTATTAAAAGGAGGATGGAGCACGAATATAAATTAAAGTTGTTTTGCCTGCTACAATAATTATTCCAATTAAAACTGAATAGCTTGCCTAGTAATCCCAAATTACCTATACAGATGGAAAACAAGAGGTATTTGAGAAAGAGCAGGCAAGAGTTGTGGTCAGAAGGTGGTGCCAGTCCACCTGGGGGCTTGTACCCGAGTAAATGTATAGATTGAAAAATATGGAATGCTGGCAAAGTAATATGTTTAAACAACTTGGAGGTCTGTACCTACTGAACCTTACAGTAATGTGATGTATATATATATATGGGAAAAAAAGAAAGAAAAGGTGGGAGGTAAAAAAGCCCCCTAATGACTTATATAATGGTACTCATGCAGAATAATCAGCTGACTACTGTCTTTATTAAATTCTGATTGATAGCATAATTGACCAATTAGGAGTCTCCCTTTATCAGTGGCTAGTTGCCTTACCAATAGCTAGTAATACTTATTGCTATGGTCAATTCGCCAACGGCAAACAAAAAATCCCATAAATGCACATTGACATCAAAAGAAAAAGCAAAGGGTAAAGAGCCAGAGTGTGGCTAAATACAATGTTACAATCATTAACAATGATGCGAATAAAGTAACTACTTCTTGTGAGTCATATCCAGAAGGAGATATAAATTAGGAGACTGGAAAAACAAGCTCATCTTATGTCTCTTAGAGAGAAAAGCTATACACTAGTCCCTAATATCCTCCAAACAACTTCAAGGGTGTTCTAATCTGTGGCTCAATTTAAGAAGAACAAAAGCTGCCTAATGTGCCATCACATTAGCTGTATGGACGGCACTGTATAAAGTGAAAAGGAAAAGAAAATATATTAACCTATAAGGGTCTAAGTACCCATAGTGATAAGATGTGTCCCTAAAGTGAGCAAATAAGCGATAAAGAAAAATAAAAATGAGCTAACGCCCGACGCGCGTTTCGGTGTATTAGAACACCTTCGTCAGGGGATAAGAATTATCTTGCAAAAAAAGCCGGGACTTTTAAACCCCCCTGTAGCCAATCAGGTGTTAGGTCCCTCTCTTGTCATTAGGTCACGTGTCTGGAATACCTTAACGTCATTCGTGACGTATCACCCCATGTGACCAGCAGTAGGTGGGGCGAAGAAGGGGCAAAACTCCTGGGCAGACGTCATTGGATTGACAGGTTAAGTTTGAGTACCCCTACATCACTAATGACGTGTCGCCCCACGTGACTGCCCATGGGTGGAGGGAGTGAATGAGACTCTTCGGCGAACGTCATTTGATTGACGGATTTTAATTTTAAATATTCGCCGATCACAGGCTGAATAGTATCCATTACATGAAATGTAATTATAATATCTAAACACTGCTCATCCTGTAATTTATTAATCCATTGACTGTATATTGGATTTGCTAGTAGAAGTATGATTGACAGTGTATATATAATTTAAGCTTTTTATTATTAGCTGTAAAATACACTGTTTTTCTTCTTCTACTATTACTTCAAAAAGGAGAAATAAACAGATAATAGAAAATTATAAAACAGGAAAGTGTAACCCTAATCTATAAATGCCATCCTACTTAAGGGATGCAGTTGATTTGAAGTGAAGATTACTTCTATTCATATCAAATATATGAAGCTTATTTTGAAAGGGTCACATTAATATTGAACAGTGTTAATTGTTATAAGTGGATGATATTCAAAGATACTGTTACATCAATGGTTTTTAAGAAGTTTGGCACAGGGTTTGAAATATCTACATATAGGGGTGGTTAAATTAATTATTTACAGTGACTTATTTACAGTGCTGATGAAAACATTTTTACAAGTTGTAATTCTTTATATAAAGAGATCATGTAATGAAGGGGGTATAAGTAAATCCTTCATTCAGTCCTTTGGGATACAGGGTTTTTAGTCGGTAAATCCAATAACGCTCTCTTTTCCTGATATGTTGGTCCCAATCTCCCTTCCTTTGGTCCTGTCTAATTAGTTCTATTCCCTGAAATCTCAAAACTGTGGGGTCTCCATTATGTACATTTTTTACGTGTCTAGAGATTGGAGTCTCTATATGTCTGATAGTTTTAACAGAATTGATATGTTCAAGGATTCTTCTTCTGAAGGGACGGAAGGTTTTTCCCACATAAGACATTGGGCATTGACAGGTAATCAAATACACTAAGCCTTTGGAGCTACAATTGAAAAAGAAACGTGTGTCAAAATGCTGATTTTTGGTACTGTCAGTAAAGGTTTTTGAATCTTTCTTGATGAATTTACATGCCTTACACCTTCCACATTTGTAAGTACCTTTGAGATTGTTCGATAACCAATGTGTTGGTGCTGCAGTTCTCTGGAAATGACTGTCTACTAGAGAATCTTTAAGATTTTTGCCTCTCCTTGCTACAAGGGATACCTGTGACGGAATAATATCCCTCAGTTGCTCATCCTGTTTTAGCAGTGGCCAGAATCTATGCATGATTGATCTTACACAGTTCCATCCAGCATCGTAAGTAGCTACACACCTGAGTTGCTTATTGTCTTGTTCCATTGATTTCTTGCACGGAACAGAATCTTCTCTTATTAGACTCTCTCTGCCTACCAATAGGGCACTGTGATATGCCCTTTTGAGGCTATCAATCAGAATTTAATAAAGACAGTAGTCAGCTGATTATTCTGCATGAGTACCATTATATAAGTCATTAGGGGGCTTTTTTACCTCCCACCTTTTCTTTCTTTTTTTCCCATATATATATATATACCTCACATTACAGTAAGGTTCAGTAGGTACAGACCTCCAAGTTGTTTAAACATATTACTTTGCCAGCATTCCATATTTTTCAATTTAATAATTATTCCATCCTCGCAGACAGAATTTTTGACCATTGTATTTCAGCAATTGTTTCTACTCTTCCTCTCTGAATCAGCGTTGTAGGGTTTGAAAAGTGTCACCTCTGTGAATTCTCTCTTGGTTTTTAATCCAGACACCTACATTATACAGCCTTTATTATGTAGAGTTATTCTTCCACTATTCTATCTATGCTGTACCTTTTTTTGAGGCACCATTTCCTCTTTAACATATTCCCCATCATTGTGAGAGGCTGGTACATAGAGATTGGAGGGGTACCCGACAATGGCCATTATCAGGATCGATGTTAGCCACATACTTTGCATGGGGCATCATACCATCATGTCATTGGATAACTGCATCAGTAGGTGGATTTGAACCTATTTCAAGTCATTGTTGTTGTATCCCACATAAGGGTGCAGTGTCACTGGGTCAGTGGATGATTACATAGGGTTAAATGGGTAGATCTCAAGAAGTCAGGGGGGCAGCGCCCCACTATCTTTAAACTTCACCAGCTGCCACTGTGCACCAGTGTTTCTTTTATCATATGTTTTTTCTCATGTCACATTGTCCCTCTTACTGTCTCTCACAGGCACCTTTATTCTACTAACTTCGTTCTTTGCCATACTGCACTGCTGGTTAAATGCCTTTGCAGAGATGTTGCGCTTTGCAGATCGTATGTTCTACAAGGTAATGTGACAACTACTTATTTCATTTTCTTCCAAATACATCAAAATCGAATTTTATTTTAATAATATGTATATGCACTGATCAATGTTACTTCCTCTTATCTAGGATTGGTGGAATTCAAAATCATTTTCAAATTATTACCGCACATGGAATGTCGTTATCTATGATTGGTTGTATTATTATGTTTATCAAGACATTCTATGGGTAAGCATTTTCAGGTAGCCCCTGACCAATGTTTTGTTCTCGTGATATTTTGTTTCATGTAGTAAGAAAATAGCTTAGGAGGACTAGAGCCAGACAAACTCACACCTAGTCCAGTGTCAAGATAAACCTATAAACCACACTGTGGTATGAGAACTTTTTTTCCTTTTTTTGTGGTTTTCAATGTAGGATGTTGCATTTACTGTGTCTTTAATTTAATAAATTAAACTTTTTCAGTACAAACCAATTTACACGTGTTTTGTATTTTATTTTCCTATAAGATAAAAAAAGTTAATATACAGCAAAAAATATTCCTTATCCCGTTGAAGAATTGGACTCTTCATAAAAATTTTTATATTACTTTATTGGTTTATCTTGATAATGGATGTGGTGTGAGATGTTTCTGCTGTTTTCCTTCTGCGCTATGTCCTTACTACAGTAAAATTCAGGTTAAGCCTTAAACCAACATTTAGTCCATTATATGTTATTATACAGTGTACTAATTTGCATTTCTTTTTCAAATCTGGACTTTCATCTATATAAACTTTTTTGTTTCATGTTTGATAATAGCTCTTTCTTCATTGTAGCCAGTTAATATCAGACCACAAACAAACCGCCTTGCTGTAAGTTTAGGTGAGGTTAATGTTAATGTCAACACTATGTGACTGTTGATAGTCTGTATGCCCCCTTTGTTGCATTTAGTTGGATCTCCCTCAGATGCTTTTGTATAAAATCACAACCAAGATCCAATCTCATAAGCACATAGTTACATAGTTACATAGCTGAAAAGAGACTTGCGTCCATCACGTTCAGCCTTCCTCACATTTGTTTTTTGCTGTTAATCCAAAAGAAGGCAAAAAACTCCAGTTTGAAGCACAATTTTGCAACAAGCTAGGAAAAAAATTCCTTCTTGAATGGCAGTCAGATTTATCCTTGGATCAAGCAGTTATTACCCTACATTGAAAGATTATATCCTTGAATATTCTGTTTGCATCTAGAGCTTTTTGAACATCTGTATGGACTCTCATAAAACAACTTCTTCAGGCAGAGAATTCCACACCCTGATTGTTCTTCCCTTTGCCTTAGACAAAATTTTCTTTCTTCCAGTCTAAACGCATGGCCCCGTGTCCTATGTAAAGTCCGGTTTGTGAATAGATTTCCACACAATGGTTTGTATTGGCCCCGAATATATTTGTATAATGTTATCATATCCCCTCTCAGGCGACGTTTTTCTAAACTAAATAGGTTTACATTTGTTAACCTTTCTTCATAGCTGATATGTTCCATTCCTTTTATTAATTTTGTAGCCCGCCTCTGCACTTTTTCTAGTGCCATAATATCCTTCTTTAGAACAGGTGCCCAAATTGCACAGCATATTCAATATGTAGTCTTACCAGTGATTTATAAAGAGGCAAAATGATATTCTCGTCCTGAGAATGAATGCCCTTTTTCATGCATGACAATACCTTACTGGCCTTGGCCACTGTTGATTGACTGCACATTGTTGCATAGTTTGTTGTCTATAACAATTCCCAAGTCCTTTTCGTGTGTTCTCCCTAATTCGATTCCATTAAGGGTATTCGTTGCTTGTGTATTCTTTACGCCGAAGTGCATAACTTTGCATTTTTCAAAATTAAATTTAATCTGCCATTTGAGTGCCCAGTCCCCCAGTCTATCTAAATCCCTCTGCAGCAAAGTAATATCTTGCTCACATTGTATTATTTTACAAAGTGTCATCTGCAAACACTGAAACATGACTTTCAATGCTTTCTTCAAGATCATTTATAAACATGTTAAATAGAAGGGGTCCCAGAACAGACCCCTGAGGAACACCACTTGCTACCTCTGTCCAGCTTGAACATTTACCATTAATGACAACTCTTTGTGCTCTGTTTTTAAGCCAATGTTCTACCCAAGAACAAGCATTTTCATCTAGACCGATTTCCTTGAGTTTGAACACTAATCTATTGTGTGAAACTGTATCAAATGCCTTGGCAAAATCCAAATAGATCACATCCACTGCAACACCCTGATCTATACTTCTACTTACTTCTTCGTAGAATGCAATCAAGTTAGTTTGACATGACCTGTGCTTCATAAAACCGTGCTGATTTTTGCTGATAACCATGTTCTTCTCAAGGAATTCTTGAATATTATCCCTTAATAACCTTTCAAATATTTTACCAGCCACAGAAGTTAAGCTCACAGGTCTATAATTTCCAGGCAAGGATTTTGAACCCTTTTTGAATATAGGAACCACATCTGCCTTCCTCCAATCCTCCGGAACACTTCCTGAAAGAAAAGAATCTTGAAAGATTAAAAACAGAGGTTCACTTATTTCTGCACTTAGTTCCTTAAGTACACGTGGATGGATACCGTCAGGCCCTGGAGCTTTGTTTATATTAACTTTCTTTAGTTGCTGCAGCACCTTGTCTTGAGTTAACCAATTACAATTATTCTGCAAGTTTTTAGTAGCAATCATTTGCATATCTATTGCCATGGGTTCTTTCTTAATATATACGGAGGAGAAATAGTTATTTAAAATTCCTGCCTTTTCCTGGTCTTCATTAACTAACACCCCCGTTTCAGTTTTTAGTGCACCTACACTTTAATTTTTGGGGTTTTTAGAATTTATGTACTTAAAAAATGCTTTGGGGTTGGTTTTGCTCTCTTTAGCTATCATTTTTTCATTTTGAAGTTTAGCAAGACTAATTGCCTTTTTGCACGTATTATTTGCTTCCTTATATCTTTTATAAGATGCATCTGATTTGTCCGATTTAAATGCTTTAAATGCCCTTTTCTTATTTTTAATCTCTTGTTTTACTTCTCTACTAAGCCACATTGGTTTTAATTTGTTTCTTTTATATGTATTTCCCAATGGTACATACTGAGAAATGTACCTTTTTAATATTTGTTGGAAGATGATCCATTTATCCTCAGTGTTCTTTTCACTAAAGAGTTTATGCCAGTCAATATATTGTAAAGCTGCCCTTAACTTATTGAAATTGGCCTTTTAAAAATTATATGTTTTAGTATACCCCATGTGCTTTTGTTTTTTTGAGTTTATTTCAAAGGACAATATATAGTGATTACTATTTCCCAAGTGCTTACCTACTTGAATGTTGGTCAAAAGATCAACGTTGTTTGTTAAAATCAAGTCCAGAAAAGCGTCCATTCTAGTTGGTGCTTGTACAAGTTGTGACATGAAGGTGTCACTTAACAAGTTTAAAAACCTAATTCCCTTTGCTGAGCTACTACCTCTGTCCCAATTTATGTCCGGGTAATTAAAATCTCCAATAATTATAGTGTTACCCAGATTTGTAGCTTTCTCAATTTGCTCAAACAGCTGTTGTGCCTCGTCAATATTAACATTAGGTGGTTTATAACATATCCCAACCAATAGTTGTTTTCCCTTCTTTTCCCCCAAGCAGATATTTACCCATAAAGCTTCCACATTTTCCTCATCGCATTCCACTTCCTTAAGATTTGGCTTTAAATCATGGTTGACATACAAACATACCCCACCACCCTTTTTGTTTTTCCTATCCTTCCTAAATAACATGTACCCATTTAAGTTACCTGCCCAGTCATGTGTCTCATTCCACCATATTTCAGTTATGCCTATTATATCATATTGTTTAGTGTATGCTAATGCCTCTAGTTCCCCCATTTTGTGATTTAGGCTCCTTGCATTAGTAAGCATACATTTAATATCATGAGTCACTTGTATTTTTTGTGAATTAGCAACATTACATAGCTTCTCTGTTCTGAACTTGCCCCTCCCCCGTCTCCACCCCCCTTATACTGTGCTAAAGCCCATCTCCATTCTGTCCTATCTCCATTTTGTAGATTGCTATGACCCTCCCCCCCTACTACTAGTTTAAAATCTCCTCCAACCTTCTAGCCACCCTATCCCCCAGCACTGCAGACTCTCTCCCGTTTAGGTGCAATCCATCACTACTATAAAGGTTGTACCCAATCGCAAAGTCGGCCCAGTGCTCTAAAAACCCCAAACCCTCCTTCCTGCACCAAGACTTAAGCCACGCATTGACCTCTCTAATCTCCCACTGCCTTTCCACTGTAGCACGTGGCACAGGTAATATCTCAGAGAATACCACCTTGGAGGTCCTTTTCTTAAGTTTCCTACCTAATTCCCTGAAATCATTCTTTAGGACCTTTCATCTTCCTCTTACTTTGTCATTGGTACCAACATGGACCATGACCACTGGGTCATCCCCAGCCCCTCCCAATAATCCATCCACTCTGTCAGCAACATGCTGAACCCGAGCACCCGGGAGACAGCAAACTGTCCGGTTGAGCCGATCAGAGCGGCACATTGCCCTATTTGCTCTCCTAATGATAGAGTCCCCTACCACCACAACCTGTCTGGCCTTCCTTACATTTTGATCCACACCCGTACTAGGGGGGCTGTTATCTCGGCTGTTAGAAGTAACAGCTTCCTCTAATACAGCTACTCCTGGGCTGATGCTCCCAACATCTTCACTCAAACGGGCAAATCTGCTAGGTTGCACCAAATCAGGACTAGCTAGCCCTTTCCTCTTCCATCACAGAGGTATGGACCCTGGATGGGTGCATCCAGGCATCCATACATGCAACAAGATTGAGTCAAACCAGCAATCTTGATAACTAGGAAAAGCAATAGTAGCACATCCTATAACCATTAACATGTAATGCATTCAAAAGCAAAATGCAGGTTGGGTACAAATCCTTCTGTAACACTGTTATGGGTCTTGGATATAGAAACCCAGTGGATCTTTTAGGTTAAAAAAATAAAATGATAGTTTTCAAAGTTCGTTATTTGATTAGTTAAAACTCATTGCATGAGGTAACACCACCATGTGGAAATGACTATCTCAGTAACTGTTTAATAAGCAGACCATCTCCTTTTGCAGCTGTGTAATCGTCGGTTCCGCACCGGAGCAATGCTGGCTGTATTCTTCACGTCGGCCATCGTACACGAATATGCCTTAACGTTGTCACTTGGTTATTTCTACCCGGTCATGTTTTGCTTGTTTGCCATCTTTGGAGGTAATGGCTTCACATGTTCAAGACTTACAGGTTCTATCACTATGTAGAAATAGTGTTAGATTCCTATTGTTTGAGCTCCCACCCATTTCTCTTTTTTTATTTTATTTTTTTTCAATTTGGGCAACGTAAACACTTGTTACTCAAAATGAATGAGTCAAATGATGATCCTTTAAATAAAAACTCTCTTCCAAATACATGGGGAAGAACATAGTGCAAACCCCTGTGATCAAGTTAATCCCATGATCGGTGCTGTTGCCCAGAAGACCTGTATAACGTTGAAATATCTAGAGAAATAGAGTGACAATTTGTACATTTTGGAGGATATTGTATCACTTGTTCCTTTGTTTATTGTAAAATCTAAAAAGGTTATCTTGAAAACCAAAACCTGATACTGAGCCATTGCTTTTAAGCAATCAACAAACAAAAATTTCAGTCAAATTACTTTGTATTTAAGTTATTGTCTTTTTATATAATTTGTCCACCTTATTCTGCAAATTCACTACCAGATCCCACCAAGATGAAACTTGTAACATCTGGAGCTTTCCAAAGTATTTTATAGATTGTCATAGTGGAAATCTTTGTGGAGTGAGCCCTTATATTTTACATTTTACACAGCTGATGGCTGTCTTTCAAAACCCCAACAGGTTCTTAAATCTCTTTTGTAATAATTTCTTTTATTTTTGGTTTTCTTTCACACCCAGTCGTCTTCAACTTCTTCATTAATGATAATCTTACAAGCCCATTGTGGAACGTGGTGGTTTGGACCTTCCTGTTTATTGGCCAGGGTATCCAGTTGTGCCTATACTGTCAGGAGTGGTACGCTCAAAAACACTGCCCTCTCACTGAGGTATGTATAACAAAGGAAGCACTGGAGCTTTTTAGCTTATCTTCGATCCAGCACTTTGAAGGTGTTCTCCTGTAAAGTATTTGTCATTTATTTGGGCTCTAGGGTACATATAGTTCTTACATCTAGATTAAACATTCATTGTATAACAAAACAATCCTTAAATAACCTTAACATGCTCAAATCGAGTTGACCATTTAGATGGGTTCTACATGTTGCCATTTTGGATTTGTTAATTTTTTTAAAAATAATTTGAGTGATACTAATATAGATCTGTCTTATTCAAAAACATACAATACATACAATACAAGCCTGGTTGCTCGCCTGCTGCCTCAGGACTCTGGCCCCTATGTTAAAACTTTTATTCTCCCCTGTAGAAATGCTTGTTCGTGCCTTTCTGCTATGGTGTTTGGTAAATTCAATTTACCTAACAAATGTACGAATGACCGGACCACCTGGGTATGGAGTGTGCAGGCAATTAACCTCCCAGAAGCTGCGGTTAACCGCAGCTTAATTGACGAACGCTGGGTGGCCGTCGTTCGTAAAGCCGAACACGTGGCAGCAGCCATCTTAAACCGTCGAACGGCCAGCGGTGTTCAGCTACAAAATTCTGGAACTTAACACCGCTGAAGCCGCCGACCTCCCTTCTCCTGTATCCATTCGTTTATACGAACTCTGGGCCGTTAGGGTCTTTGGCTGGGTAAACAGTGTTACCCCAGATAGCTATGCCATGGAGCCTATTCGTATAACGAAAGACTATGTGAAAGACTTTGGCTGCATGGCGATTGAACTGTATGTATGTGATCTGAGCGCCATTCGGTAATAATGTGCACTCAGATCTAAGCTATCTGGGGATATGTTGAACATGCATATTTTATTCGGTAGTTTTAGTATTATGTATTTTTTTGTCTTTTTAGTAACGTGTAAAATGGAGGTTGTGCTCTTTCCTCTGAGATAATTGAGTTACTTCCCAATTATCTCCAGGATAGAGAGGAGGGATTACAATGTGTATGTGGGAATGTTTACTGCTAAACTGTCCTGATTGGTTAATGTCCAATATGTGTCCCAGGTTTCCATCAGGTCCCCTAGGGGAGTGTCCACCTGGTGGAAGACCTGCATAAATACCGGGCAGGTAGCCCACATTAAACAGATCAACTGCTGACTCTCAATACGGAGCCTCGTCTCGTACTTGGGGGGGGTTATTCGTATGGTTTTACTATTTGGCTGTCTGGAGTGTAAACCTATTCGTATGGTTTTTCCTGTTCAGCTGTTTGGAGTATTCGTATGGTTTGGAGCATTCGTATGGTTCTTCCTATTCGGCGGATTGGTGTCTTTGGTACCTGACTTTGTATCTGAAAGGGTAATATCTACTAAACGGCTTTTAACCCCTTTTATGCCCGGGGTGCTGTTACAGGCATTATCTGCCGGTACTTTTAGAAAGGTTGGATTAGATATTGGGCATGTATGTGCTGAGGAATATTGCCAAAAAAATATTAGCTGTGAATAGGAAAACTATTTTATAAATATAAATGACAATAATAATAATCAATTAAATGCCAAAATATGTTGGCTCTGTGTTTGGGGTTTGTTTGTATGTATGGGACACACACTTTTTTTCCATTTTTTTTTCAATTGTCCTTTTTTTACCTGGTTTCATATTTTAAGTTTCTGCAATTTGAAGGAAGTCTTGGTATTATTTCACATTGAAACTACAATTGTTGGTAGATACTGTATTTTCACTGATGTTTTTTCTCTTCACAGAAAACATTCTGGGGATTGGTGACTCCTCGTTCTTGGTCATGTCAGATATAGTTAATGAAGATTGTACTGTTTAGCGTTCTGTGAAACGTTGAACACATATGTGTTGCATTGGAAATACTACATGGCTAAATATGGATGTATGTGGCTACAGCATCCTTATCCTCTAGATGTAATCTGTACTGTTGTAGAAACCAAGCAAGCAACATTGTCCAGAATTCTATGTCACTATTTCTATGGACTTTGAAGAGACTTTGAGTTTGTCTGACACCAGAGTGCTGCCATTTACACAGAATGCAGAGTTACAGAGTTGTTCTGCTTCATGGCCACGTTTCTTACTTGGTACTACCAGGAATTATATGAAATAACAATGTACCATATTACAATGTATCTGAAACAAATGTCTTAATAGAATAACTCAAACAACAAAATATGTGAACACAACCCCAGTGAGAAATATATACAATTTAAAGCAAACCAGGACTTCCCTATATGTAGGTGAAATATCCAGGTAAATCTCTAAAGACTTCCTCCTGTCTTCAGCAAATGTATACAAATAGAATAGGGGATAGTCTGCTAAATACAAATAAAATAAAAGAACATAGCGTTTATCTGTGTAGGGACTAATAATAGTGTGCAATCACAATTGGTCACTCACAAATTATCTGATGTAAAAGCAGCCTTGGATAATATCTTTTTCTTCAGTATCCACTATATTGTCCCTCCTCACACTTCCATCAGCGAATTAGTATATATGGCTCAAAAGAGAAAAATATATACAAAAATGTAGTGCACTTCCAGAGTATAATAAAAAAATATTTTAATAACTCACATTTAGGTATAAAACAAATAGCATGTCACCATAAGAACGTCCTACGCGTTTCGTCCTACAATTGGACTTCCTCAGGGACTTGGTGAAAACAAATATAATAATAGCAGCAGCAATAAAAACTATCCCTCCCACAGTTCTATTATACATCCCTCAACAATTATTTAATGATTTCCAGCCGGTGTTCAACTTCCATTTTGGCGGTATTTTCTGTGTGTTTAAAACCGGATGACGTCATCACGTGCGCCGTTTGCGTCCCATCTTGCGTTCCATGAACCCGGAAGTGGATCGCGGTCGTTTATTTTCATTTCCTTCATTATTATAGTTACTCCGAACGTGTGTGGGTAGATGAATAAACAGAGGGGGGGAGGAAATACTGTTAAAAAAAACTGTTGAAAAAAAAAACTGTTAAAAAAAAAACTCTGGATTTCACCACATTAATAAGATTATTACAATAATTTAGATCATTTTACAATAGAATCTACGGGTGCAGAAACACGCACATATATCCACTAATTACTTATTTTATGTGAATAAAAAATTATTTACACTTATGAGAAATCTTAAATTACACATAAAGTGCATCTTTACATAATGGGCACATGTACAAATGTCTACACCCTCACAATTCATAGGAAATGTATATAAAAAAAGATACATAAAATACATAAATAGCAACATAGCTTAACATCATATCTAATCACAATACATTAGTCACTCTGATCACAAAAGGTGAAACCCATTTTGTTGCACTTTTGCTTCTATCTCTTTTTAAAAATATATATAAAAAGTTTTTTCTTCCTTCTTTTTTTCTCTTTTTAATACTCAACATATATTAATATATATGAAAATGAAAATTAGAATTAAAATTAGAAATTAATAAATGCAAAAAATATATATTTATGAAATATATATATATATATATATATATATATATATATTTTAAAAAATAAATAATAAAATAAAAAAATAAAAATGAAAAATAGAATAAAATAAAAAAAACATTAAAATAAAAAAAAATAAAAATAAAAAAATAAAATAAATATAAAAATATGATAAAAAAAATAATTATAAAAAATGAAAATATAAATATAAAAAATAAGTAAATAAAAAAAATGAAAAATAAAAAATCCTTAGTTTGAGAATGAAGAAAGAGTGCAATATTCCCCCAAACACTCCAAAAAAGAGAAAAAAATATTTATTTAATCTTCAAAAAAGCTCCACAAATCAATATCCAAATTTAAACTGAAGGGTTGAAGTGTCTTTAACTTATTTATCCAAAAGGTTTCTCTCTGTGAGAGCATTTTGGTTAAATCCCCTCCTCTCCAGTAGTGGTCCGCACGCTCAATGCCCACGAAGGTGAAACTCCGCCAATCAAATTTATTGCAAGTATTGCAATGTAAAGGTACTATATGTTTGGTTGAATTTTTCTAATATTATGCTGATGTTCTAATATTCTTTCTTTTAACTTTCTACACGTTCTTCCCACATATTGTTTCCCACATGGGCATTGTAGCATGTACACTACATTTCTTGTATTGCAATTTATGTTGGATTTTATTTTAAATCTTTCTTTTGTGGTGAAACTCATAAATTCTCTCTTTTGTATGAATTTTTGATTTTTATATGCTTTATAAGAGTTACAAGGATTGAAACCACTGATATTATAGGTCATACCTTTACGTGGGATTTTTAATGCGTAACTGGGTGCTAATAAGTTTCTCAAATTTTTTGTTCTCCTAAAAATAACTGGTGTTTTTTTCGGTAACACTTTGCCCAAAATGGGATCTTTGCGCAAAATGTTCCAATGTTTATTGAGAATCTTTTTTATTTTCCTATTTTGTGTATTGTATTGTGTGGTGAAAGAAAAATTTTAATTATTTTTGGAAGGTCTTTTAGGGTTAGATACTATCAAATCTCTCCTGTTCTTTTTTTCTATTTCTTTTATTTCTTTATCTAACAATGTTGATTCATATTTCTTTGCCACAAATTTATTTTTCAAATGCTTAGCTTGCTCTCTATAGTCTGAATTTTTTGTACAGTTTCTTCTGACCCGTATTAACTGACTTTTTGGAATTGTTTCCAACCATTTATCTTTATGGCAGCTTTTTCTATGTATATAGCTGTTACCCTCCATTTTTTTAAAATAACATTTTGATTGAATCTGATTATTTTCTATAAAGAGACTTAGGTCTTAAAAATTGATAGTAGTGGTGTTTATTTCATATGTGAATTTCAGAATTTGATGGATGTAGTCTAGAAACAATGGTAGTTCCTCTTGTGAACCTCGCCAGATCATTATTATATTGTCAATAAAACGTTTCCATAGGACCAGGTTCGCCATGCCCACTCCATATGTGGTTGGATTCCCAATCCCACATATATATGTTTGCATAGCTGGGGGCGAACCTGGTCCCCATGGCTGTACCAGCGGTCTGGAGATAGAATGAGTCATCAAAGAAAAAGTAATTATGTTTAAGGATATAGTGAATACTGTTCAAAATGAATTACGAAAATTTAATGAAACATTTTCATCTCTCTCTATGATCCATTCCACTGCAACTAAACCCTTATTGTGCTTTATTATTGAGGTAACATCTATGGTTACCCAAACATAATCTGGTTCCCAGACTACATCTTCCACAATTCTCAAAACATGAGCAGTGTCTTTTAAATAAGAGGGTGCTTCCTGAGCATATCTTTGAAGATGATGGTCTGCAAATTCAGATAAATGAGCAGATAGAGTTAAAAGACCACTATAGTGCCAGGAAAATATACTCGTTTTCCTGGCACTATAGTGCCCTGAGGGTGCCCCCACCCTCAGGGTCCCCCTCCAGCCCGGCTCTGGGGAGAGGAAAGGGGTTAAAACTTACCTTTCTCCAGCGCCGGGCGGGGAGCTCTCCGCCTCCGATCCTCCTCCTGTCCTCCCTTTCGGCTGAATGCGCACGCGCGGCAAGAGCTGCACGCGCATTCAGCCGGTCTCATAGGAAAGCATTTACAATGCTTTCCTATGGACGCCTGCGTGTTCTCACTCTGATTTTCACAGGGAAAATCACGCAAGCGCCTCTAGCGGCTGTCAATGAGACAGCCACTACAGGATTTGAGGGCTGGATTAACCCATTTATAAACATAGCAGTTTCTCTAAAACTGCTATGTTTATAAAAAAATGGGTTAACCCTAGCTGGACCTGGCACCCAGACCACTTCATTAAGCTGAAGTGGTCTGGGTGCCTAGAGTGGTCCTTTAATGCCACTGATGATTGGCCTACCTGGAGGTGTTATTGGGTTCTTATGTAATTTAGGGAGAAAATAAAAAATGGGTATTATTGGAAAATTATTGAAAAGATATTCCTTATTGTTTTTAGAAATTATACCATTTTTGTATGCTTGATCCAATAAGGATCCAAGAATGGTATTAAATTTTTTAGTTGGATCTCCTGTAAGTTTGATATAAGTATCTGTATCTACTAAAATTCTATATGCCTGTGGGAGGGATAGTTTTTATTGCTGCTGCTATTATTATTGTATTTGTTTTCACCAAGTCCCTGAGGAAGTCCAATTGAAGGACGCAACGCGTAGGACGTTCTTATGGTGACATGCTATTTGTTTTATACCTAAATGTGAGTTATTAAAATATTTTTTTATTATACTCTGGAAGTGCACTACATTTTTGTATATATTTTTCTCTTTTGAGCCATATATACTAATTCGCTGATGGAAGTGTGAGGAGGGACAACACAGTGGATACTGAAGAAAAAGATATTATTCAAGGCTGCTTTTACATCAGATAGTTTGTGAGTGACCAATTGTGATTGCACACTATTATTAGTCCCTACACAGATAAACGCTATGTTCTTTTATTTTATTTGTATTTAGCAGACTATCCCCTATTCTATATATGTAATAGAATAACTGGCTGATCTACACAAACAAACTGATGTTAATGTCACATTGCATAACTCAAAATTGTGATCTGTGTGTATAAAGGTGGGGTTTTCAGAAGACTTCTAATTTTTCTTCCTAAGCCAAAAGTGTTGGTTCTGTAACGGAGATTATGTGGGCAATTGGCACAACTGATAATGGCTATCCCCCTAATTTCTCCAAGTTCATGGTGTGCTCTTCTTTCCCAGTCTCTCTTCCTACTAATTATTTTTAATATGATGTTTGGGCCTCATTTTGCTAGTGGAGCTGAAACAAATGCCCCCACTGTTCATGGATAAAGAAAAAATTGACTACAACACTACAAGCCTATTATAAAGTAGGTCTATGTTAACCAAAGCGCAGTACGACTCTATACTCAGTATCTTCTGTTTATTCTAATGAAATACTTTCTCACTCTCTCTGATGATAAAAATTGCCATGAGTTTATCTAGCATCAACCAGCAAACAATAACAACATGCTCTTTCTATACATCATTACTTTTATGGTGAATTGTTATGCTGTTAATTGCATGTATATTAAGATTATGTTATGCCATTTAATTAGGAGCCATTTTAATAACAAATTGTGTTCACATTAACTCAGTCTAAATGTATAAAAAAAAATATATTGCTTTGTCTGTCTTTTTGACAGGGTAATGGTTGCTCTGGGACATTGCTAATATTTAGTATTCTTCCTAAATTGTATTGTTTAACAATTCCCACCCATTGACTTGTTATCTGTTTCTTCAATATTTGCTAGTAGGCTAGCTAAGTTAGTGTAAGAGCAATGGTTGTCAAATACAAATACACAATTTGCTTCAATACATTTTAGTGAACAAAGTCTCAAACAAGTGGCAAAATATAAAATACACAAAAAATAAAGTATAACCACTACATGCAAATGTCAAAACGCCTACTAAATAGTGTACTCTCCAAACACCACAAACAAGAAAACATACAAATAAGTAAGATTAGAATATATAGGGGCAACACCTCCCAAGTGATCACAGTGATAAGGGCGATACAACCTTAAAATGCGAACAGAATTGGTAGCTTTGAATATCTAATGGGAAAACAAACTAGACATAGTGTAATTAAAGGGACACTCCAGTGCCAGGAACCCATCCCGGGTTGCTGAAGGGGTGAAAACCCCTTCAGTCACTTACCTGAGACCCCCCCCCGCCGATGTCCCTCGGCGGTGGTTTCTGCTCGCCATCGCTCCTCCTCTTCCTTATGTCAGCCAGTGGGCGAGACTGATCCAGCCGGCTGAGGATGCTTTCAATGCTTTCCTATGGGGAATTGAGCGACACTGGATGTCCTCACACAGCGTGAGGACGTCCAGCGACGCTCTAGCACAGAAAACCTGTGCTATGGAGCAGGAAGTGTCCTCTAGTGGCTGTCTAGTATTTTATAAAAAACTGCAATAATTACACTTGCAGGGTTAAGGCTAGTGGAAGTTGGCACCCAGACCACTCCAATGGGCAGAAGTGGTCTGGGTGCCACCAGTAGCCCTTTAAGTAATGTCCAAATTAACACGCAATATGTAAGTAGCACTCACAAGAGAATAAATAGAACCAGGCCCATCATCCTTAACTCAGGTATATGAGCTGAATCTGCTCTGAGATGTGGATAATTTTCTCAAACTTCAAGAGAAAGCAGAAAGCAAAAATAGTGCAGATGGTAGGTATAAAACAAATGTTCATTAAGATTGCACTTACAAAATAGACGATAAAATAGGCATGTCTCCACTTCCAGTGGATCTGGATGCTACTGGTGATGAACTTGGAGTAAGCCAGACAATAAAAAATAAAGGAGTCTCCGATGTCTATAGCTAACACGTTTCATCTATATGGACTTCTTCAGGAGAATCTATCCCCCTTTTTACTATCCTCCATTTAAATAGAGATGATGATGATTGGATGTCGTTCACCTGCGTCTTGTGTACGCCGCGTGCGTTCCATGCTGGAATGTTATGCTGTTTCTGGCTTTTGATGTTGTCATATCCTGTTTCTGAGTGTATCTCTAGTGAGCGTTGTGCATTTCACGCTGGCACGCAAGCGTATCCACGGTCATATAGAACCGTGTCTTGAAATAAGAAGACTGAAATAAAGGCTAATGAAACCAAAACATCTTTACAAAATAGATAGAGGACTTGTGGGACAACACGTGGGAGGTGTTTCTTAAGTCCCTTGTGGTCTCTGAGGTCATCACTGTGTCACATGACCGGGTCTGGCACACATAAGGATGCTGCTCTGAAGCATGCAGCATCAGAAATACTGTCAGTCTGGAGCACGGCGGCGGAGACAGCTGCACACCGTGGACAGGGACAAAATGGCGGCACTCACAGTGACAGGGTAAGCAAGGCCGCTGTGAGTGGCGCAGAGGCAGGGGACCTGACATAATTCCCCTGTTCCATGACCACCAGGAGGGCGGCAAGCTGAGGGCTTCAAAGGAAAAAGAGTGTGAAAGGCCCGAACACGATGAGGGGCGTTTAACTCTGAGGTGGATATCCAGGAATGCTCCTCCAGGCCGTACCCCTCTATTGGACCAGGTACTGCAGGGTGCCCCTGCGAAAGAGGAAGTCAAAGAGGGACTGAACCTCGTACTCCTCAATAGAGTCAGCACTGACTAGGGTGACTAACAGGCCTCGTATACCGGTTGCAGAGGATGGGTTTCAAAAGGGACATGTGGAACATATTGGGGTTGCACAGGGACGGAGGCAAGTTGAAGCAGTAAGAGACTGGATTGACCCTGTGCAGTACTCTACATGGACCAATGAATTTGGGCACCAGCTTCATAGAAGGGACACAGAGGTGCAAGTATCTAGTAGACAGCCAAACCCTATGAACTTTCCATAATAGTTCGCTATGAATCTTTGTATCCTATGAATCTTTGTATGGCTTTAATAGCCTCCAGTTTATTCGGATTCATACTAAACCCATCCTCAGATATGATGTAACCCAAGAACTGCACAGAGGGACATGGAGGTGCAAGTATCTAGTAGACAGCCAAACCCTATCACCAAGTACAAAGCAGGGTGCCACAGCCCTATGACGATCAGCAAACCTCTTCTGGGACTCGGCTGCCTGAGAGAGAGCTGCATGGACCTGATCCCACATTTCCCACAGAGCAGCAAGGTGGTCATCCAAAGCGGGAATTCCCTTGTCGGAGAACACACCGGGAAGGACGCTGGGTTGCACACCATATGCCACCTGGAAAGGACTTAAGCCAGTAGAGGCATGAGAGACCATGTTCCTGGCAAACTCAGCCCATGGGAGAAGGCAGGACCATTTGTCCTGGTGCTCGTTAACAAAGCAGCGCAAGTAGTGTTCCAGAGACTGGTACACCCTTTCAGCAGGACCGTTTGACTGTGGGTGGTAGGACGAGGAAAAGGAAAACGACATACCCATTTCTGCACAGAATCCCCTCCAAAACCTCGATATGAATTGGGGACCCCTGTCAGACACTACATTTACTGGTATACCATGTAGCCTGAACACTTCCTTTGTGAAGACCTCAGCCAGTTGTAGAGCAGAAGGGAGCTTCTTCAGTGGAATGAAGTGACCCATTTTGGAGAATCTGGAGAGGATTGTTGTGTGTCTTCCTTTGGGAGAGGATTGCACCAACCCCTGACTCAGACGCATCCACTTCAACTATGAAAGGTAGTGATGGGTCAGGATGGTGCAAAACAGGGGCTTCCTTTAGCGTTTTGAAGGCCGCAAGAGTCTTGGGACCCCCATTTACGTGGGTTGGTACCCTTTTTGGTCAACTTGGTAAAAGGGGCAACTATGGAAGAGAAGTTCTTTATGGACTTTCCATAATAGTTCGCAAAACCTATGAATCTTTGTATGGCTTTAATAGCCTCCAGTTTATTCGGATTCATACTAAACCCATCCTCAGAAATGATGTAACCCAAGAACTGCACAGAGGTCTGGTCGCAGAGACACTTCTCAAGCTTGCAATAAAGACCATTGTCCAGCAGTTTCTTCCATACTCATCTGATGTGTTTATGGTGGGTTTCAAGGTCTGGGGAATAAACAAGTATATTGTCCAGATAGACCACTGCACATACATGCAGGAGATCCCAGAGGACATAATTAATAAAGTCCTGGAAGACTGTGGGAGCGTTACATAGGCCAAAAGGCATTACCAAGTATTAATAGTGGCCACTACTGGTATTGAAAGCAGTCTTCTACTCATCCTGTTCCCTTATCCTGACCAAGTTGTAAGCCCCCCTACTGTCCAATTTAGTATAAATAAACTGGTGAGACCTCACTTGGAGTATTGTACACAGTACTGGAGACCGTATCTTCAGAAGGATATTGATACCTTAGAGAGGGTTCAGAGAAGGGCTACTAAACTGGTTCATGGATTGCGGGATAAAACTTACCAGGAAAGGTTAAAGGATCTTAACATGTATAGCTTGGAGGAAAGACGAGACAGGGGGGATATGATAGAAACATTTAAATATATAAAGGGAATCAACACAGTAAAGGAGGAGACTATATTTAAAAGAAGAAAAACTACCACAACAAGAGGACATAGTCTTAAATTAGAGGGACAAAGGTTTAAAAATAATATCAGGAAGTATTACTTTACTGAGAGGGTAGTGGATGCATGGAATAGCCTTCCAGCTGAAGTGGTAGAGGTTAACACAGTAAAGGAGTTTAAGCATGCGTGGGATAGGCATAAGGCTATCCTAACTATAAGATAAGGCCAGGGACTAATGAAAGTATTTAGAAAATTGGGCAGACTAGATGGGCCGAATGGTTCTTATCTGCCGTCACATTCTATGTTTCTATGTTTCTATAATATATAGAGCCCTTCACACGGTCAAAGAGATCCATAATAAGCAGAATGGGATACGCGTTGCATACCTTGATCCTGTTGAGGCCCCTATAGTCGATACGGGGTGTCCGATCACCCTCTTTCTTGGAGACAAAGAAAAAGACAGCACCTGCCGGAGAGGAGGATTTCCTAATAAAACCTTTCCTAATGCATTCTTCGATGTACTTCTCCATACTCTTGTTCTCCAGCTCCGAAAGGGGATATAATCTGCCCTTGCGTGGCATGGTCCCTGGTAGCAAATCTATGGCAAAGTCATAGGGACGATCTGGGGGGAGTTTGATAGCCTCTCTCTTCTCGAATACTTGTGCCGGATCCTTATACTGCAGAGGCACAGAGGTAGAAAGAGGAGGGGCTGAAGGCAGGTTCAAGGCACAGATTGGATGCAGGGTTTGTAGGCAGTTTATGTGACAATAAGTACCCCAGGAAAGGGAAACCAAGGACTATAGGGCATGATGGAGAACATAAGACGTGGAACGTGATTTGTTCCTTATGCAGGGCACCTACGGACATACACAGGGTTTTGTGTGTAATTTTGTATGTTGTAAACAGTCTACATTCGAGAGTCTCAATGGCCAAGGGTGTGGTTTTCCGGATCACAGTCCGGGGAGAGATTTCAGCGAAAGGCGGCTGCACCTGAATCGATCAGAGCAGTGGTGGTGATGGTATTACCTTTTACAAGCAGCTTGACTGTTACATATAGTCTACTTGAGTCACCTTGAGGGGATAATGTCATAACACCCAAGACCAGACCCTCGGGGGCATGGCCTGACTGCCGATGGAGTAGGACACACACTGCTCGAGCTCCGAGGCCCCAACCCGTAAAGCCCGATATCACAGCGCTTCTAATTGCCCCAATGGGGAAGACTAAACGCCCAGCTACACCTGGGCAGGTGATTGCTAACGTTACCTGCCAACAGCCCAGTCCTATGGATGGATACTTGTCCACATCGCGTGGCCTCCGCGGCCCCGGGGATGCGGATATGCAGGCACACTCCTCCCCAAGC